AGCTGAAAGGCTTTAGAAAGAGTCTCATAATATCTCGGACAAAGAAGAGGAGAAATACTGACATCTTAAAAGATCTGAACATCATGGAAGATTGGCTAATAAACAGCATCCTGTCTCAGAAGTTGAAATATTTTGGTCTTATCAAGCGCCACGACGAATTGGAAAAAATTATAGCAGAAGGCATGGTACCAGGAAGGAGGGGCAGGGGCTGACCGACACGAAATGGGCACAGGATATAACTGACTCCTTGAGTGTGAAAGTTCATGAGGTGGGAGAACTGGCGAGAGACCGAGTTTCTTTGAGGCAGACTGTGATGAGAGCGACGTTCTGCAAAGGACTTGCTTCATGATGATGATGAAAGTAAGCGACATTTCTCTAGACCAACTTCCGGCATGTTACAAGAAAAAGTAGTTCCGACAAGAGGGAAAATGGCGGATATCCCGCAGTTTCTTCATAGGTAATTTATGTTGTTGAAACACAACTTCAGTCCTTGCTGCAGATTTTTTCTAATAATGACATTTCTGACCACCGTACAGGATTATGCACATTTTATTCTTTTAGTTTACTTTAAGAAACCATATTTATCTAGTAGAACCAGTTCTATTATTGCAAATTTGAAAAAAATTACGACACCGACACATTATTCGTGCTGAGTGCTGTATTTAGTTTTTTAGTTACTGCCTGACAGCCTAACTTAAATTTACTAATTTAGTTTTGAAACTAGACAGAAAAACAGGTCACACACAGCTTGTTCGTCAACATCTCGAGTTGTATGATAGGGTATTCCGCATTGACCATTTACTCAAAAACATTGTTTCTTATTCAAAGAGGAGGTGTGGTTTCTAGGTACTTCAGTCAAATTTTTAAAATGCCCTCTACACCAATAAAACCAGCACAGTTAGATAGCTGTAAACAATCTCTTTCCAATGGTACCTCATTTAGGCTTGTATGTCATTTCTGAGCTGAGATATGTAGGTTTTTGTGGAGATGAGATGTAAGAAACAGCCGCTAAAACTTGTGACCCAGAAACAAGAAGTTTTTCACTGCGCAACCTACTGCGCAGTTCTGTATCGGCTTTGTTGACATTGGACTGTCATTGGACAAGATGGCAGGCAGTGAGACTCAGCTCACTCAGCCGCATGCGATTGCCTAAAAAATGTCACTGTACATCTAAACAGCCAGAGTCGGTAAAAAAAATTTAATATGCAAATGTAAAATTGGACGGAGAATTCAACTGTAACTAGCATTACCACAACTGGTAATGTTTAAGGCCTAAAGCCAACCTCGAATTTACCGCTATTTTCAATCAAACTGATGACTAACAGAAAAACAGAGGAGTCCGGCTGTCGTAGACATGCGCTGTTAATCGGGTTCCCCCACGCTGTTTTCAGCTATTTATAGCTGGTCCAAATTCCCACCAATGGCAAAATTTCATGAGAGATTTGGACCCATACGGAAACCAGCCGAGATTTCCCGAACAAGTTCTGAACGGTTTCCGGGTAACGGAACTTGCCGAAAAGACCGCAAATTGTCGAAACTGTAGTCCCTAGTGGTTTCCATTCTCTCTGAAAGTTGGAGTTGCAGGGACTAGATCAACTCTCGACATTTTCGCCGAGTGGGTTCCAGGGCCTTGTTATAGGGAAAACAAGAATAGACCCACTGCCTACCCAAAAGCATGTTGTAATAGTTGGCTATCCGAATATTTTAGCGGTCCAAAATTATGGAGGCTAAGAAAATACCCTAACAGGGCCTCAGTCATATGTAAATTGCGGACCTCTTTCTGGCAACTACACCGCCATCGCTGAAAGTATCCCCCGGGGGGGGGGGGGGGGGGGGGGGGGCTAAACCAGATGGCTGGGACATGAGCAAATAAAATGGAGGAAGCTGCAGGAGATGGGGTAGCTGCTGCTCGTGAGTCCCAGCCATCTAGTTTAGCCCTGCCCCCTCCAAGCCGGGCTTAGCGGTATGCGGTGTAGCCGCCAGAAAGAGGTTCACATTTTACATATGACTGAGTCCCTGTTAAGAGCCTCAATAATTTGGGACCGTTGTTCGGAGCATAGCCTAATAGTCGATTAATTGGGCGCTTCCTTTAAAGCCCGAGTGCATCTGCCTGAGAGGCAAGGAACCAACAGTCTGCATACAAATTAGTCAGATCTGTCAAACGGATGCACGAGCGACACTGAGGTTCTAGAACAGGACCGTAGTCCAGAAGTGGACGAACAACCAGAACCTTTAGCCGGAGTTTACAGGTGAATGCGAAAAAGAAAACTCGACATTCATTTAATATTTATAAGTGAACAATTTAGCAGTGTGATCTTGTTTATTGTACACTGCTGTGTTGTTCAGTTACCGAGCGAAAGAGATATATATATATAGACTACATTAAAAAAAAAACTCAAATGAGAAAGATATTTGAAGGGTATCAACTTTTTTAAAGTAGGAATCTGCCATTCAGGGATCATTTGGAGGCAGTTGCAGCAAAATGCCAAAAGGGGCTCTGAAAATTATAGTGGCAGTGAATATAGAGCAAACATGCTCTTGAATGGTGTACCATCCTTGATGATTTTGGTGATAAATTTTGGACTGGGATTGCTTATTATATCAAAGAGTTAGCTCTTGAAACTTGAACCTGCAGAGTATTCTAGGATGTACAGGAAACAGCCCAGTAGTCTGTACTGTATGTGATTTATATATAATGGGCTCAAAGTGTTGCCAGTTAGGTCATATCTCAAGATAAACAAAAACCACCTTCTTTATGAAGTCTTGGATACATCTAAGGGTCAGAGGCTGATAAGAGGACAGGTTTGGCTGGCACAAGCAGAGGACACAATAAGAGATTCGTGTATGCTTAAAAAAATGAGGAGTGAGTGGTTCAGAGGCTCAGAGTAAAAGTCAGACTGGAGATTTCCTTTACTGCGGTTGCCATAAAATTCTATTTAAAAGCTTGTGGTCTCACATATAATGGCTAGGTTACTAGTCCAGTGAATTAATTACTTCAGTACTGTGTGATACTTCACCTCTCTACCTACAGTATTTGGAATCATAACTTTCATTTTTAACAAATTTATAGAGATAAAATGATTCCATTTCTGTGCATGTCCCTGGATCACTGCCAACTTTTTTTTGGGGTAATGCAATATTGGCAGAACCATGTCTCCATGTTTTTAACTTTGTATTCAGGGAAATGCCATTTGTATTGCAGGTGTTGGGTTTAAGTCTGGCCGTTGAAACATAGCTACAGCATTATCCATATGATTTTCTTCTTTTGTCCTACACAGAGAGGAGTTTGATGTAGTTTCCTGTCTTTTGCTATTTGCATAGCTTGTGTTATTGTCGTTTTGCATTTCCGTAGACTCTCTTTTACTCTCTCCACCCATCTCTTTCTTGGTCAGCCTCACTTGTAGCTTGCTGCTCTCATGTAGTCTGTCTAGCTGCTGGCTGATTTGATTCAATTTTGGCCAGATGACCAAACCATTCGATTCTTAGATGTCTGAAATCATTGACCAGTATTGTTCTTAGTTCTTCATTGGTGACTGTCTCATCTAATTTTTCCTGCTGCATTTCTGATTCACCTCATCTCACCTGTTGTAATTTTGTATTTGTTTATTTAGGAATGTCTGTGTCTAGCACAGAATTGCATTTATCAGCTGCCTTTTTAAAATATTGTTTATACTGTGCTGTTGATAATCTGCTGATACTGTGCTTTTGTTTTTGAGCGGGAATTGAGAACAGTCATCTGCAACTAGGGAACCTCTGATTGTGGTTAATCAAGTTTTTGTATTATGTTCTAGTCTCCTCAGGTGAATAGTTCACCATTCCTGTGGTAGTTTACCCCTGGGTCATCACTTCTGAAGGTATCAGTACTTCAGTGAATGTAATGCTGAGTAGTGTCCATGCGAGCACACACCCTGACTGACCTCCTTTTGAGACAGGAAACACCTATGTCCACGTGACCACGCACCCTGGCTGACCTCCTTTTGAGACAGGAAACACCTATGTCCATGTGAGCACGTACCCTGACTGACCTCTTTTTGAGACAGGAAACACCTATGTCCATGTGACCACGCACCCTGGCTGACCTCCTTTAGAGACAGGAGACACCTATGTTAATGTAAGCACGCACCCCAACTGACCTCCTTTTGAGACAGGAGACACCTGATAATGTGAGCACGCACCCTGGCTGACCTCCTTTTGAGACAGGAGACACCTGATAATGTGAGCACGCACCCTGGCTGACCTCCTTTTGAGACAGGAGACACCTATGTCCATGCGAGCACACGCCCTGCCTGACCTCCTTTTGAGACAGGAGACACCTATGTCCATGCGAGCACACACCCTGACTGACCTCCTTTTGAGACAGGAAACACCTATGTCCATGCGAGCACACACCCTGGCTGACCTCCATTTGAGACAGGAGACACCTATGTCCATGTGAACACACACCCTGACTGACCTCTTTTTGAGACAGGAAACACTTATATCCCTAAAATATTGTTACCTTCACAAGAAATTATGTTTTCTTTCTGACAAATAAATCAGATTTAGAAGCTGTGGGCCATACACAGATATTGAATTCTTCTTCCCCAGCTTTCTCTTTTATCGCTTTGGGTGTCAAGGAAGATAACAGGATGTGCTTCTCACTTATATTGGTTACTTAATTTAATATTTGAATATTCTTTTGTGTTTGCAAAACGTTACAAGAAGTTTTTTTTTTTTTTTTTTAGAAAAATGTTGCAGGTGTCTGACAAGTAATATATGAAACAGGTGAACTGGTTAAAATTCCTAACCCTGATTTATGTAACTTTCTACCCCCTACTACTCTGTCTTGGTGTATGAAACCCAAGTTAAGTTTACCAAAAGAACATTATCTGCTATTGAGGAGAAGAAAACTGAAAGGAACTCTTCTATTATCAGAAGCCACATCTCGATAATAACCCTGTTGTCTTTCCCACAGATGATGAACTACAACAACCGAGCTTCGTGTTGTGGGAGACAAAGTGATGGAATCTGGCTCAATGGTTGATTCCCATAACGTTAACACAGGCGGCAACATGAATACAATTGGAATGGGCTCAGTGGGGATAACCCTTCCAGTGACATCAGGAATTGGGCCTTCAGCCAACACTGCTATAAGCTCTGGTGCGGTTTCAGGTTCATTATCAGTGTCCTGTAGTGCAGGAGATGCTGTGGCCCAGCAGCAGGTTAGCCTGCAGGCTCAACCACAACATATACAAATCCCAGGCACCATGTCTTTAGGAAGCTTGGCTGTGGCTATGGGACTATCAGGTGCAAACACAGACCATAATAGTTTGACTTTCACCAGCAATGCACTGGCCAGTCTCACTGCAAGGATGGGCATGAGTTCAATGGCCGGATCAAGTCCTGGGGGATTGGTTGCCACTGGCAACAGTTTGATGACATTCCCAGGAAGCACCGCTCTGAATCTGGTACCAGGCATGGGTATGGGTCCAGCAGGGGTCAGTATTGTTGATGGAAGTGGACTGAGCATGGCGATGGCTGGTGGGATGACCATGCAGACACCTACAAATATTAGCCTTGTTGGGGTACCAGCTTCCAGTGACATGGGCAACAGTATTGGTGGTTCCCAGCAGCAACAGCATGGACACAGTAACAGTGGGGCATTGCTTCAGAACAATATTCATATCAACACAGGAGGTAGTTTAGTGAACAACATGGGTGGAGGTGGAGCTTCCATGCACTCCTCAGGGAGTTGCTGTGGTGGTTGCAGCACCCGGGTCACCGTCAAGGATCAGTGTGCCCAGACAGACCTGTCCACAGTTCTACAGGTAGCATGTCTGTTTCCTGGTTCAGTGTTTATGTTGTGTATAGTTTTAATATTGAGCACGTTCTGCACAATTTTGTGTGTGATGTTTAGGTGATTGGCAGAGAATTTGATGGAAATGTACACAACTTATAGATTAATTCATTGTGCCATTGTATGTCACATAAGGCTTCCAGTCACACCGACTTCATTCTGTTCTGTCCTGTGCAGTTACTTTGATATCGTTGATGAAATCTAGTCTAGCGCCTTTGGCTTCTCTCATGTGTTCATTTTACGGTTTCTTTTGGACATGCTTTTTTTTTCAGAACCTTTAGTTTCCCATTTCTGTGCCTGTTTGGTGATTGTCTCTTCTCAGAATGTTTGCAATACAATGCCCTCTCTGTCTTGTACATGGGGACTAGTGCCATCTCCTCTCTGTCTTGTACATAGGGACTAGTGCTATCTCTTCTGTCTTGTACATAGGGACTAGTGCCGTCTCCTCTGTCTTGTACATAGGGACTAGTGCCATCTCCTTTGTCTTGTACATAGGGACTAGTGCTATCTCCTGTCTTGTACATGGGGACTAGTGCCATCTCCTGTCTTGTACATGGGGACTAATGCCATCTTCTCAGCCTTGTACATAGGGACTAGTGCCGTCTCCTCTGTCTTGTACATAGGGACTAGTGCCATCTCCTGTCTTGTACATGGGGACTAATGCCATCTTCTCTGCCTTGTACATAGGGACTAGTGCCGTCTCCTCTGTCTTGTACATAGGGACTAGTGCCCTCTCCTCTGTCTTGTACAAAGTGACTAGTGCCGTCTCCTCTGTCTTGTACATAGGGACTTGTGCCATCTCCTTTGTCGTGTACATAGGGACTAGTGCCATCTCCTTTGTCGTGTACATAGGGACTAGTGCCATCTCCTCTGTCTTGTACATAGGGACTGGTGCCGTCTCCTCTGTCTTGTACATAGGGACTAGTGCCGTCTCCTCTGTATTGTACATAGGGACTAGTGCCATCTCCTCTGTCTTGTACATAGGGACTAGTGCCATCTCCTTTATCTTGTACATAGGGACTAGTGCCATCTCCTTTATCTTGTACATAGGGACTAGTGCCATCTCCTTTATCTTGTACATAGTGACTAGTGCCATCTCCTTTATCTTGTACATAGGGACTAGTGCCATCTCCTTTGTCTTGTACATAGGGACTAGTGCCATCTCCTCTGTCTTGTACATAGGGACTAGTGTCATCTCCTCTGTCTTGTACATAGGGACTAGTGCCATCTCCTTTGTCTTGTACATAGGGACTAGTGCCCTACTCCTTTGTCTTGTACATAGGGACTAGTGCCATTGTCCTCTGTCTTGTACATAGGGACTAGTGCCATCTCCTCAGTCTTGTACATAGGGACTAGTGCCATCTCCTTTGTCTTGTACATAGGGACTAGTGCCATCTCCTCTGTCTTGTACATAGGGACTAGTGCCATCTCCTCTGTCTTGTAAATAGGGACTAGTGCCATCTCCTTTATCTTGTACATAGGGACTAGTGCCATCTCCTATGTCTTGTACATAGGGACTAGTGCCATCTCCTCTGTCTTGTACATAGGGACTAGTGCCATCTCCTCTGTCTTGTACATAGGGACTAGTGTCATCTCCTCTGTCTTGTACATAGGGACTAGTGCCATCTCCTCTGTCTTGTACATAGGGACTAGTGCCATCTCCTCTGTCTTGTACATAGGGACTAGTGCCATCTCCTTTATCTTGTACATAGGGACTAGTGCCATCTCCTCTGTCTTGTACATAGGGACTAGTGCCATCTCCTCTGTCTTGTACATAGGGACTAGTGCCATCTCCTCTGTCTTGTACATAGGGACTAGTGCCATCTCCTTTATCTTGTACATAGGGACTAGTGCCATCTCCTCTGTCTTGTACATAGGGGACTAGTGCCATCTCCTCTGTCTTGTACATAGGGACTAGTGCCATCTCCTCTGTCTTGTACATAGGGACTAGTGCCATCTCCTCTGTCTTGTACATAGGGACTAGTGCCATCTCCTCTGTCTTGTACATAAGGACTAGTGCCATCTCCTTTATCTTGTACATAGGATTAGTGCCATCTCCTCTGTCTTGTACATAGGGACTAGTGCCATCTCCTTTATCTTGTACATAGGAACTAGTGCCATCTCCTCTGTCTTGTACATAGGGACTAGTGCCATCTCCTCAGTCTTGTACATAGGGACTAGTGCCATCTCCTGTATCTTGTACATAGGGACTAGTGCCATCTCCTTTATCTTGTACATAGGAACCTTTTCTTTTGAAATTTATAATTGTCAATTGTTGTCTTTATCCTTTGTCTTGTACATAGGGACTAGTGCTATCTCCTGTCTTGTACATGGGGACTAGTGCCATCTCCTTTATCTTGTACATAGGGACTAGTGCCATCTCCTTTATCTTGTACATAGGAACCTTTTCTTTTGAAATTTATAATTGTCAATTGTTGTCTTTATCTGATGAGACAAGGTATCCAATCTCACTTTCTAAGAGATCAGGAAGATGAGTTGTTTGGTTACTATCTTTCCAGTAGTTAAAATTACCAGCTCTTTACAATAGTTCGAACTCTTATATGAGACATTGAATATGTGCATGAGCAAATGGCTAGTGTGATATACAAATACAATTTAGTTTTTATTAAAGTCCAGAACCTTGTTCCACACCTTTCGGGCTTATTTAGAGTATAATGCTAGACTTATTTCATAGACCAGTCGGCACTCACTGGCTGTTGTGGTCAACACCAGGCAGGCCGCCTTTATTTCCCAGGACTTTACCTGGTACCCATTTAAGTCAGGCTTTGTTGATCTGGGAGCCAATGTTATTTCAAAAATAAGTCTGGCTCTGTCAGGACTTGAACCCACGATCTTTGAATCCGCAGGCCAGCATCTAGCAGCTACACTATGGAGGCTCCCAAGTGTAATATATAATAATAATAATATTACTTATATTTTAAAATTAAAAAAAAAAAACACAAGGACACATAAAGTCTCCACAAGTCAAGTTGGCTGCATTGGGTGGGTATGTGCACTTATGTCTTTTAGAATATTACCTGGTAAGATCTCCCTCTCTTTCACTGTCCGAAAGCAACTTAGTATCCTTCATCATCAACATGCTGGCGAGAGTAGGCTGTTATATTTCACCATCTCACATGATCACAAGAGCCACCCATCCGTATGGCCAAGCCATTCAAGTATTTATCTCGTCACTCTCTCCTTGCTCTCTTTTTATTCATATTGTGAATCTTGGTATATGAACATAAGATGCTTGATATATAAAAAATGATTGCCGCATGAAAAATGGATTCTTGAAAAGACTGAAAGTAAGATGGGCCAGGTTGCCCTGTTTGCTGGGGGATAGATCCAGTGTTTATTTTACATGATTGTATGATTATTTAACAAAAGTTAACTGACTCCAACAGCATATGTCAAATAGGCTATCCTCAGAATAACGATCCCAAATTATCAAGCCTGCGGCGACATGTGAGGATTCACACTGGCGAGAGGCCTTACAAGTGTGTCATTTGTGGACACTGCTTCAGGCGAAGGTTACTTGTTTTCTTTGCTACATTGTTTTTAAGGATTGTTGTAGTTTGTAACATTCGTTAATTTGTTATCATCATTGTCCTGTGGTACCGTTATATGCCAGTCTATTTCTCTATTCTGTTCTATCCTGCATAGTTTTTACAATATGGATGGAATCTGGTCCAGTAGCTTTAGTCTCTCTCATCTCCATTCATTTTAGGGTTGCTTTTGGGCATCCTTGCTTCCTGTCCCTGATGTTTCTCTTATATCTTAAACCCTGTGAATAAGTTATAACAATGTGTTATTTGTACCATTCATTACTGGAAAGTCTCATGTATATGGGTTGCACTGCCAGTGGTTGTATACATTGAGTTCAGTGTTCATAGTGGTTATATTTGTTCCCTGCCAGTAGTTTTGATTTGACCAACCTCATAAAATGGGTACCCAATAGGGTTGTAAACTGTCTGGGAAAGCAGGGAACTGTGTCACCTCACTTCATCCGGTAACCTAGTCAATGTAAGGCTCTACCCCTCCACACCCCTACTCCTCCAAGTACAGCATCTACCACAAGATATTCTTTTCCTGTCAGTGTATATTAGTTAGTTAGTCTTTCTTCTTGAGCCTAGGGTGGCGCATAGGGCACAGGTCATAGCTGTCCATGTCTGGTGGTTTGTTGCCACCTGTTTTAGGTTTTGGATGTTTTTTAGATCCATGATTGAGCCTTCTTTGACGATGCTTCTCCACAGGGTGTTTCTTGGTCTTCCCCATTTTCCTTTCATGGGAGAACCTGGTCGTATCTAATCTGAGTAGTGCATGGCTCATGTAGTTCCAGTGGCGCTTTCTGATAAAATTGGATACATTATCTTGCTTGGTCTCTTGTCATATATATGTGTATATAAGTGTATATAGCAGCTTACAAAAGAAAGTTATTTGCAGACGTCATAACTGTAAAATAAACTCATTGTTAATAATGCAGGCATGTTTGGCAACAACTTATTGGTTAGCAAGATGCCAGAAGATTAAAGGCTTTGTCATGGGTTGGTTGACAGTTTAACACACTAGACTATGACTTGGAAGTTATGTGTTCAAGTCCCCTTCAAAGCAGGCATTTGTTTTCACTGACTGTATTTTGAGGTCAACCTAGCATACATTAGGTACTTCTTCACGTTCAACAGTTGTAAACACTGCAGAAAGTTCTGTTTATTTGTCCACCCTGATTGTTTGTCCACCTCTGGACTTTAATCTGATTCCAGAACAAGAGATTTGCATGCACACCTGTATTACAGATATGGCTTATTTGTATGCTATCAGTACCCGCCATGCTTTGCTGTAACTCAATCTGGCAAAATGGAAAAGAACAAATAGAGGGCACGAGTGTCTAATATGGTTAATATCACAATCGTTGTCTGTGCGGATATACAAATAGTCTGATGTGGTGACTCCAGAAAACGCAGCATATAAGTGGCTTTATAGTAGTGGTGGTTTCAATTGTATTATTAGCACTTAAAAGGATAGTTTTTGTGTGAGTACCACGTTTTTTCTTTATTTTTTGGAAACAGCTGAAAGTAAAGCTTAATACTGTATTTCAAAATGACCAACAGACTTGCCAAAATAACACACACACACACAAAATACACATGAGAATAGCAGAGGAAGCATTATTAAAATATAAATAATCGTCGGAAAACAAAACCAAAACGCTATGTAGTTCATGCCTTGTGCAACACTCTTAAAATAAAAACACGCACATATTCAAATGCAACGTTATGAGAATTTTTCAAAAAAGTCGGTGAAGATCTTTGGGCGTAGCTTCATGCAGAGGTCTGAGGTCAGCAGTCAAAGGTTGCCCACCAGCAGAACTGAAAACAATCTGACCAGCAACGAAAATAAAGCCGATGTGATCGTTGCTGTAGCTATGTAGTTAGTGGTTTGTGCGATACTCTTGCATAAAAACGCGCGCGCAGTTGAATAGGTTATGTTGAATTTTGAAAACAGTCTGGTGAAGAACTTTTGGAGTTTAGGAAATGTACTTTTCATTAGGTCTCGCTTTGGGAAAAAAGGATCATTGACTTACATTTAGCAAGGCAGCTAATCACCTTAGAATAGAAGGTGGGTGACAGAGAAATGATGAGTATAAGAGAAGAGAGATGTTTTATTTCTATGCACACTATGATAGAGGGAGATATAACATGAAAAGATAATCACTGAAGATTTGCAGTAAAACCTCGGTATAAAATTGCTTGAGGTGAACAATAGGTTAACATGAAAAGATAATCACAGAAAATTTGCAGTAAAAACTCGGTATAAAATTGCTTAAGGTGAACACTAGGTTAACATGAAAAGATATTCACAGAAGATTTGCAGTAAAAACTCGGTATAAAATTGCTTAAGGTGAACACTAGGTTAACATGAAAAGATAATCACAGAAGATTTGCAGTAAAACCTCGGTATAAAATTGCTTAAGGTGAACACTAGGTTAACATGAAAAGATAATCACAGAAGATTTGCAGTAAAACCTCGGTATTAAATTGCTTGAGGTGAACACTGATTTAAAAGGTATTTGTTGTCCGGGTTAACCTTCCTGGTTTTCTGAGACATTATAGTCTCAATGTTGTGAGATCATCTGTTTCATAGTTAGTGCCCCACCCTATCAGGCCTGTCCAGAGCAGCCATGTAATGCTAGTCAGCCCTCAAGAGCAGACGTCAGAAGATGCACATTCCCCGCCATCCAAGGAGGCTTCCATGAATGCAGAACCCATTCATGGTGCTCTGGTACTGTGATCAGCCATGGGATTGTTGTGTTCTGCTCCTGACTGTTTAACTTCACTTCCATCTATTGGGACTCTCATTCATCACAGGCTACACTTTAGAAGTAAACAGGAAGCAGCCTGTAGACCTATGACCTTTATTACCTACGCGGAATGAGTACTTTGCTTCTATGCTGGTTAGACTTTTACTGCATCGGCCTTCCATGTCCTCTAGTTTCATAACAGTTTATTAAAATGGTAGATAATTGTAGAGGTACAGTTTTTGAAAATATTAGGTGGTAATTATTCTTACTTTGCTTCAACCTCCCAGCCACCATCTTCGCTGCCATGAACTCACTCACACGGGCACCAAACCTTACTCTTGCGGCATCTGTGGCAAGGCTTTCAACTTAAGGTTTGACAAATCATTTATCTTTTTTATATTTATATTTGTTTTTTTCCCTAATACTTTTTTTAAAAATACATCAAACTTTTTGTGAGCTTTTATTCAACTCGCTCATGGTGTTTGTCATGTCAGAACTTTGGTATACATTTTTAAACTATTTCCTGATAAGCTAAAATTTGGCACTTGCACTCTTCATGGATGACAGTGCTATCTGGTGCATTAATTTGTGATTAACAGTTTTCTTTAAATAGTAAATTTATGTCTTCTCTTCTTTCTCATCTGGTTTACTTCCAATAATTTATAGGCTCTCAACCAAATAACACCAAGTACTGTGTAGACTCCTTCATGATTGGCTGGGTTTTACAGTTTGAGTTGTCTGTGGGACAAGGTATAATCCGTTCCAAAAGTCGCGCATAACTTTAAAAATCTGTAACTCAGTAACTGTTTGGTATAAATTGTTAAAATTTAGCATGCAACCTGTTAATAGTCATGTCCTTTTAGGAAAATAATTATAATGCAAACAGACTTCTAGTTTTTGTTTTGCCTTTTTGTCTTATTTGTGGTAAATGCATGTCTACAGTTAATGGAATGACGCACACTTTGAAAGCATCAAATTGCACATGTTTTAGAGGTTATCCGTGTGAATAACCCAGGTGTGCTTATTTTGAGTAGTGAATGTGCTGTCATAATCTCATTGAGATAATTGTATAACTCATTTCATAAGCATTTATTACTCAGGTTGTCAGTCTCCCATGAGTTAGATAACACAGTATTTCATTGTATGCGAGATAGGCTATCAAAATAATCACTACACATTGCTGCAGATGTGAAATTATTTCCAAAAGTCTATATGCTTGTGATTTAAGATAAACAGTTTATGTTAATTACTGTTTATTCTATATTTTAAGGGTAAACAAATTATTAGTTCGAACAAAGATCTGCTTACAGAAAATAAGAGTACCTTTGCAGTTGTAAATTATAAAATCATAAAGACATGGGAAATCTAAGAGCAGCTGCATTATCTGAATGATTCGTACATGAGTTTTCAGATATTTGTTAACAGTTTGAGGGCTCTACTTTTGGAACTGACTATAGTCAGTTTCATGTCAAAATTCCCTGGTCCCCACATGCCTGGTAGGTTGCACTGCTACTTTGATAGGCTTCTTTCTCTCTTGATCTCTCCTCTCTTCCTCAAAGTGCACAGTCTTTTGCCAAGTAATAATTTATGTGTTGAGCAAAGAACTGACCTCACAGCACGTGGGACATTCCCATTAGTGGTCATGAGATCATAGTAGTCCCAGCTTTATAGCATACAGGTGACCCCATGGATGCTCTGTTCCTGTGCCAACAAATGTCTGTCACTATTTCTTGTTGAAAAATCGACACACATTCATTAAATGCATAAGGCAGCCATCAGAAGTGCCAACACAAACAGTCCAATACTAGAAATTCATTTTACTGTCGATGAAACAGCAATTACAACACACGAATAATTAAGCAAGGCACCACCAGCTGTGATGCAACAGGCTACTCGACATTTTTTGGAATCTGCACTCGACAACACAAACCACACAGGGTACAGTCCAAAAGCATTCCAAATAAAATCTGCAGCTCACAGTGTCACACTGTGCACTCAGCTCAGTAGCTAGGCAAAGAAACTTGTTTTTTTTCAGGCTGTGTATGGAGGTGAATGCAGCGACCATCCATTATTAGAATTTAACTTGCCACAACTGAAAACATTGAACACTCTATATTGACCATGAATCATCTAGTCTTTAGCCAGCTCACACCCAGTCATTTAATTTTTTTTGTCTTCTGCTAAAGCTGCTTTGATGTTCTCCCCGTGATTCATTTGTTTCAATTCATCTGTTTCTGATTCTTGTCCGCATGTGTGTTAGATCTTCCTCTATTTCTCTTGTCATGTGAGTTCCAGAGAAAAGGCTTTCTCCCTCTCTGTGTCTCTCCTTCCCTCTTGTTCTTTGCCTCCCTCTCTACCTAGCTTTCCCTCCCTCCCTCCCTCTCTTTGACTGTTCTTCCCTTCCCTCTTGTTCTTTGCCTCCCTCTCTACCTAGCTTTCCCTCCCTCCCTCTCTTTGACTGTTCTTCTCTTTCCTCTTGTTTCTTTGCCTCCCTCTCTACCTACCTTTCCCTCCCTCCCTCCATCTCTTTGACTGTTCCCTTTCCTCTTGTGTCGTTGAAACTCTCTTTCTCTCTCTCTCTCTCTCTCTCTCTCTGTCTCTGTCTCTCTTCCCCTCCCCCCTCTCTCTCTCTCCCCCTCTCTCCCTCTCTCTCTCCCCCTCCCCCTCTCTCCCTCCCTCTCTCTCTCTCTCTCTCTCTCTCTCTCTCTCTCTCTCTCTCTCTCTCTCTCTCTCTCTCCCCTCTCTCTGTTTTTCTGCCTGTCTCAAGTATCATCAGACTGTTGCTTCCTTGCCGCTCAGGCAGAGGTGCTGTGACTTTAGAGGAACAAATCCATAATATGTGATCTTTTACGACATGCTTATTTGGAACACAGTGGGTCTACTCTTTGTGGGGGGCACAGAACCCACACAGGTAATGTCAGTCATTGAAAGTTGGACAAGTTTGTCAGTTCTTTGCTATATATTTGATTGTATTCTTCTCTGTAGCCATCACCTTCGGCGCCACGAGATGACCCACACAGGAGAGAAGCCATTTGCATGTACGGAGTGTGGTAAGGCCTTCACACGCAAGCAGCACCTCGACCGCCACTACAAGACACACACAGGTGAATACCACAGAACCTTCAAATGTCCCTTCTGTGAAAAAATGTTCTTCCGAGCTCATCACCGAGACAAACACATGAAACGCCACGGTAAGGGTGCAAGGGCTGTCTGTCCACTGTTCCCTTGCGCTTGACTGTACAAACTATTCTTTCCTAACAGCACATGCGTGTGTTTGTGTGTGTTTATGGTTGGTGGATTGCAGCTCTTTGTCGGGGGTAAAGCTAGGTTTTCCTGTGCATGTTCGGGAGCTCTGTTTTGGAAGACAAGAGCCCAGTTTCTTATCAGCAGAAGAAGAGAGTAAACAATTTAATCTGAAAACCACCAAAACTCTCACCAGATGATTACCATATTATGGACAGACCTGAGCAAGTCATCATTCTACGCATTAGAACAGGACACAGCCGACTTTGCAGCCACATGCACCCAAAATTTAAGATTGGTGAAACGGCCATGTGCACATGTGGACTGGCACCTGAGACAACAGAACACGTCCTCCAAGACTGTCCCAAATACAACATATTAGAACACAATTTCTGGCCAGGAGAAACACCAGTGCAAGCCAAACTTTAGGGGTCACTGAGTGAATTACAACAGACAGTAAAGTTCATATTAGAGACAACATTGCAGATATAGGTAATCTATTTCAAGCAAACGAAAGAAGAAGACAAGAATAGATCCACCGCCCTTTTTTATTATGTACATTGTAAAAGGCTGCAATTTAAGGAATTTACTGAAAATGGATATGTTGGACAGAGAGAAGCAGATATGGCAGTATATCTGTAAACCACAACATCAAGCTGCAAACCACAACATTGTGCAAACCACCCTTTTAGGTCAAATGGAGAAGAAGAAACAAGGTTGTGAAGTCACTGGTGGGAAAGGGTAGCCTGTGACTCATTAAGTTAGGTGTATGAAGGAAATGGTCAGACAAAGTCAGTGCTCACCCCAGCATATAAACATTGCCTAGTGACGTGCGTAAAATGTTTCGTTTATGGGTTATTTCTACATCTTGAAAAGATTTTGCTAATGTGTTTAAGTATTTAGAAACTAATAGAAATATTGTAACTATTATGTTTTGATGAGTTATGGTCATACCAACAGATCTTTGAAAGTTAAGCGACAGAGCAGAACAATTGCTTCTTAACAAGTGTGTTGAAAAAAGGGGACTTATTACAGACTAGCTGATATCAAATATGATGGGTCAAAATATGTAAATATCACAACCTAGCTGTCAAAGACAACACAGCGTACCAACCACCCTTAGAAAGTCAAACGCAGAGGAAAAAGTTGAGCATCATCATCATCATGTGCCCTGCCCACTGGCGAGGGCATTTATGCATCTCCCTCTTGTACCGGTGATCTACCCAGACGTTGCATCATTCACCACAGCCTGCCCCCTCATCCCATGACCAAAGAACATTGCTTGTCTTTTCCTTGTAGCTGTATATATTGATCTGCTTTCATTAGCTTTCTTCAAGCAGTTATTGTTTGTTAGTTACTCTGGCAATCCAAGGCATTCTTAACATACGTCTGAAAAACCACGTCCGTCACCTCCAAGGTATTTCTAATTTGTGCATTAACATTCTACGATTTACTTCAATACAGCAATATAGGCTCTACACAACAGTTTAGTACTTAATATCCTAAAATATTAAGAAGTTAGTCAGTACATAAATATGTTAGTGAATCAATCTCAGTCAGTCAATCAGTAAATCAGTATGTAGTGAATCAGCCTCAGTAAATCAACCATATTTTTGTGAATCTGTACCATGTGTGCTATAAGTTTTAGAGATGACGATGATGATGATGACATATTTTGTTCACAAACTGGCTTTTCAGTTCTCACCACACCAGATCTGACTGCTGCCACTTTCTCCCCTGTGAACAGCATGAGCCTGTCTGTCCGGGCAGATGGGACGCTCCGTGCCGATGGGCTGAACTCTTCTCCTCTTAGTGTAGTCAGCAAGGGTGATTCTCACAGGTGTGTGGTGTTTGTCTGAGTAGAAATGTGATGTGTATATGAGTGTGGTTAGGATGTGTATGTAGTTAAGCTGTGTATATGAGCATGTTTAAGATGGGTATGTGGTTATGGTTTGTGTGTGTGTTGGGGGGGGGGGGGTTAAAATATGTAAGTGTGTGTGGTTAAGGTTTGTGTGTGAATTTTTTTTTGGGGAAAGTTTTTGTATGTGTGTGGTTAAGAGTGGTATGTGGTTAAGAAATGTATGTGTGTGGTTAAGAGTGGTATGTGGTTAAGAAATGTATGTGTGTGTGTGTGGTGAAGATGGGAAATTGAGTGTATTTAAGATGTGCAAGTTTAATATGTAACTGTTGATTTGATTAAGAACCGACATCACAGCACTCGGGGCATTCCCATAAGTGCTTCGTCCCCATCTTTAGCAGCCAGCTAAGAGTTCCGATACTAATGGTACTAGTAGCTTCTGATTAAATGTCTGTCTTGCCTTTCCTCTGAGCTTTGAGCATCTGCCAGAACCTCTCGTCACTCCCCCACTGCATCAATCTCACCAGACTGGTGTCCATCTGCTCCTTCCAACTGTACATGCTCTCCCACAAGGCACTAATGACGTATGCCTTATTGTGCATCAGTATTTCACCAAGTTGTGCAGAGCCAGCTAGTCTGTCCATCTCCTCATTTTCCAACTCACCGGCGTATCCAGGTGAAAAAAATCCAGACAATACTCCTCACCCGTGTCCTCCGCAGCGAGGCATGTCTCTCCTGATCTTCCTCAGCATGCTTTCTGAGTCAGTTACAGTCACGATGTGTCTTTGTGTGACGTGTTCTCTAACCAGCGGAAAGCTGCAGTGACCGCCTCCACCTCCATTCTTACTCTGGATGTTGTGGTATCATATGCTAGGCTCTCCTGCACCAAACGTCTACCATTAACTTTTGCTAAGAAGCCCCAAGCACTTCTTTTGCCTCTTGACACTGAACCGTCTGTGTAAATGATCAAATCCTTTGAGCGAGTATCATCTTGAATTAATTGCTGAATTTCCACCTCTGTGGCACCTGCTGGCCAGTCTCTGCATTCCCTGCTCAGTGTGATTATGACCCTACATGTCTTTCTGTTCAGGTGGCACTTTGACCCACTCCTCTCCTCACCTAATGTTCTCAAGGATGCAAACCTGTCTGATTGTGTCTTCTGCTTGAGCCACCCATGACGTCCCTCTTATCAGCCGCTGACCTTTAACTGCACCCAGAGCTTCGTGCAAAGGGTGGTTTGTGTCTTCATCTACCCTGAGATATGACTGTGGCTACCAGCAACAGTGGGCAAACCGAGGATGTATCGCATACACACCACTGGGGTATCTCTTGTGCAACCCAGAATGACCCGCATAGTCGCATTCTGTATGCGCTCTAGTTTGTCCATCTGACTCTTTGAGGCGGTAAGCAGTCCCAGGCCATAATCAACCACTGACAGGATCATGTGCTAATATAGTTCCCAGATCCTTCTCTCTTTGCTCTCTCTCTGTTGACATTTCTACCATCTATCTTGAGTCTTGGGACATTAGCTTTAACAATCCTGTTGTCCAGAGAACACCACAAAACAGACGCCTTTTCCGGGCGGATGACAGCCCTCCTTTCTGTGCACCACTCAGTCACATTGTCCATTGTCGCTTGTAGACCAGGCTGTTTGTTCCCTCTCTTTCCCGTGCTATATGCAAGTATATCATCCGCAAAAGTCAGTATCCTTCCAACTCTTGGTGCTTCTAGGCTTGCAATCTTGCTCATATAGTTAAATAGCAGAGATGAGATGGTGGATCCCTGTGGCAGTCCTGGGGCCAAACTGATTGGTTCTGAGGTCCATGAGCGCAGTTGGAGAGCAGCCCACGACGTGAATACAGGACAGCTGCAACCCAATTCACCCGCCATGGACTGACCTCCTTTTCCTTCAGTGCAGTCATCAAGATGTTGTATCCTACTCAGTAACTCTGTTATAAGCATCCTCGAGATCCAGTGCTACCACCATAGTTTCCTGTCTGTTCTGGAACCCTTCACAGACATCTAAAGCAAAAGTGGCTGCCCATGTGTCCGTTCCTGGTCTGTAGCTTCCCAGACCTCTTGGGAGAAGCTTCCCCCTTTCCAAAAATTCTTGCAGCTTTACAGCAACTATCTTCTCCAAGACCTTCCCAAATGTGTTTTGTAAGGTGATTATTCTAAAGCCACTGAGCTTTGAATAATCCTTAAAGGTTCTGGTAGTGGGATTAGATAGCTGTGCACCCAGTCCTGCGGTACTGTTGCTGTCCTAATGCTCTGGTTAAAACAGTCGGCCATCTCTTCCAGGTCTACATCGCTCAAAGCCATCATGTGGTTATACCTGACCCCATCAAGCCCTGGTGCAGTGACTTTAGCCTTTTTCTAAATGTGTTTGATATCTTCTACTTGTATCATGTCTTCATAGTGCATATTGTTTTAAGGTGCCAGCTAACTCCTTTCTAACTGCATCTCTGATGTCTACATCATTATGATCTGTCTGAGCTATAAACCTATGGAGAAAAGCCTTCCCTTTCTCATTGTCTGTTGTCATACGCACACCGTCGTCTCTACAAATTGGTCCTACTGTCATAGGCCGATCTTTTCTTTGCATCTGCCTTTGCAGTCTCCAGATTTTCCCAAATGTTTTATCGCCTCCCATATCATTCACAAAAGCTTCCCACTTTGCTCTTTTGGTCTGTGCAGCACAGTGCTTGAAAACCTCCACCTTATCTTTTTTCACATTCTCCGCCATCTCCACTTCCTCTCGTGAGCTTGAGGGTGTCTGTTGTACTTTCTTTAGCTGCTTCACTGCGGCACTCTTTGCCTTCCATGCCTGTTCTACTTCTGGAGTCCACCATGGGGGCTGTAGAAAATTAATTCTGGCAGTTCTGTTGCATGCTCCCTGTCTGAGGCGTCCAAGCAGGTTGTTGGTCCACTTATACCGGAGGGTCTTGCGTGCTCTCCCAGCCTTAACCTTACTGAGTTTAGAAATCAGGACTGAACATGGTAGGTGATTACTCCTGTAGTCATTCAGGACAGTCCATTTAACATCTAAAACCGACGACTGGGAGACAAATGTCAAGTCAGTGGCTGTGTCTGCATCTCCAGACCTCATTGCCATTCTAGTGGCCTCCCATCATTGATACAGGCCATATCAGAGTCAGCCATGGCCTCTGCATGAGCAATTCCCTGTCGGGTTTCGCCACAGCTGTCCCATTCTCATTGAAATCCCCACATATGAGTAACCTATCAGGTGGTAACTCCTCCAATTCTTTGAGCCAGCCCTATTGTTCCCTTCTGACAAAACAGTCTACCGTGGCATATATATTAATGAGTTTCTAATTTAAGCCACCAATCTTCACCTGTATCCCTTGAACCTCTCTTCCAATGTGGTTCCACTGGCTCAAGTCAAGCACCACATGCTTCACTCCTTCTTTCACCACCAGGCCTTGTCGATGTCTCTCCTGTCCAACAGGGTTTATTTAACTGACATACCCAGGGCAATGATATCTGTCTATATTTAGCTCCTGGAGCATGACCTTTCTGCCTAGCACTCCGACAGTGATTGAAGCTCAATCTCTCCGCTTTTTGTCTTCTCCTAGCACCTGCCCTCCTATTTCTATGCCTTCTTCTCTACCCTTGTCGTCTCCTCCTCACTCTCTCTTCACAAACTGCTGAAAAATGTGTCAAGCGCAGAGCATGCGCTCCGTTGCTCCGGCAACGATTCCTATGTATATTTATATACATACACACACATACATATATATAAATATAATATATATATATATATATATATATATATATATATATATATATATATATATATATATATATATGTGTGTGTGTGTGTGTGTGTGCTTAAAATGTATATATATATATGTATATATATATATATATATATATATATATATATATATATATATATATATATATATATATATATATATGTGTGTGTGTGTGTGTGTGTGTGTGTGTGTGTGTGTGTGTGCTTAAAATGTATATGTGTGTGAATGTTTAACATGTGTGTGTATGTGTTAAAGATGTGTAGATATGTGTGCTTTAAGATGTGTATAAATGCGTCTTAAATATGTCTATGTGTGTGTCTTTAAGATGTATATAAAGTTTTGTATGTATGTTAAAGATGTGTATATGTATGCGTGGTTAAGTGAGTATATATGTGTGGGTTAAAGATTTGTTTATGTGTGTGTATGGAACCAACAGTATGCATATAAACTAGCCAGATCTTTAAAATGGATGTGCATGCAAAACTCAAGTTCTGAAGCAAGATCAAAGTCCAGAAATGGACAAACATCCTGGACTTTCCCCCAAAATTTACAGCTGGTGAATGCAAAGAAAAAGGTCTTTTTTTTCTGTTGTTTCAGTTTGTCTTTTTTCCCTAGCTGCTAGAGACCAAGTCTGATGTTAAAATCGTCATAATGATATTCAGCCCAGTGTTGACCATTGCTTTTATTATTTTTAACCTGTTCTTGCATGTTTGCTTTACCTTTTAGACTTATTTCTTTCCAGCAGTTTGATTTATTTCATGTCATCAGTGATAAATTTATTCATCTATCTGTTTTGCTGTTTACATTTTTTTTTTAATTCTTTGTTTTTAATTGTACTTATAGATTAACAATTTAAATAAATCTTTCTTTCCCTTCATGTTTGTTTCAGCTCGGATGAATATCTCACTACAGACGAGGAAGGGAAAACCCCAGATTCACACAAACCGAAGGAGGGAAGCAAGAAACGGAAGGGCACATCTCCGATGAGGCTTCGGTTTCCATATGATTATAGTACCAAGGAAGGCTTGGAAGGAATGAAGGTTTCTAATATGGATATGAGTGGGATGAAGAACTTGCCATTCCCACTCCCCCACGGAGTGGCAGGACCTAGTCACATGCTTGGCTTGCCTAGCCAGACAGGGACACTTTTGGCAACACCAAATCGAGGCCGACCACGAGGGGACAAAGGCAGGGGCGGCGGGCCATCACGGGGCAAAAAGAAGGCAGAGAGAGCCCAGCTGATAAACCAGATAGCAATGGAAATGAAGACTGAGCGGATAGATATGGATAGAGATGGATATGGTGGGGTGACATTGACGAAGAAAGATGAGGAGATGATTGCTAACATGTACGGGGGTAAGGGCATTCCCAACATCCCACAGAAGTTTGTATCCGAGTCAGTAGTTGTGAGACATCCACTGCAAGTTGGAAGCCCACACACTATGGGGCAACAGCAGCAGCAGCAACAACAACAACAACATCAACAGCAACAACAACATCAACATCAACAACAACAGCAACAACAACAGCAGCAACAACAACAGCAGCAGATGGGAGGCCATGTTGGAGATAAGGTTATGACTATTAAGCAAGATGGATCCACACCAGGTCCAGTTCAGACTCCAACGCCCGCTGCAACACCTGATGGAAGAGGTCCTTCACTACAGTGGCAGTCCCAGCAACAGGTGGGCATGAATCCTTCGGGTGCTGGAGGTAACGGCACAGACTACATGCCAAGTATGAATCGACAGTTGCACACCCCAGGTCCACAGTCAGGGGTCACCACCCCGGGGACCAACAACGGGACATCAGGAGATGTGCAACAGACCATGCACTACAAACCACCCGGAACTCCCGATCAGAATCTCCACAACTCCTGGTCGTCCACGGGCAACTGGCCTCGCATCTCTCTGGCTTCAGAACCTGTGGCGAATTCATACAACCAGGTTGATACTTCACGGTTCATGAACATTTACAGTGCGTCTAAGGTCATGGAGATGCGGATGGCCGACCTGAGAGGCCCACAGAACTTTGATGGAAATCAGTGGAATCAAGGTCACCGCGATCAGGGTCAAGAAAAGAGTGATAACAGAATATACACCATGCACCAGTAGGTGTGGAAGAAATAATGTGTAACATAAGGTTCATAAGAAAAACAGTATTGCAGAGATTGGTAAAGGGGAAGGAAAAGGCAGGCAGAGAGAGAGAGAGACTTGGATACCGAATTAGGCTGAATGGACTTGCCTCAGACAGACTAACATCTGACCCACAGAGTTGGAGAGGAGACGGATCAGGCAGACTGCAGCAGCTGGTGACCCTGTGTCATCTGGTCTTGTGGGACTATGATATTAATTATAAATCCTAAAGTTGGCCCTACATCAGACAGTGCCCTAAAAGTGGAAGATGCAGTGTGTTCATATATTCTAAGCCTTGTCATCTTGAGGTAGGGTGGCCATATTCCTTCCTTGCCAGTGTTCTAACAGATTTTGAGAAATGGTTGTGGCACCTGTATAGTGAGGTTAACTAGACCCCGGGACTGCACTGGTTGCAAGCAGGGGACCTGGTGGGGGAGGGGGGGGGGGAATTGAACCAGGCCACTCTTAGCAGGCCTGCCCATTAATCACTGTATCACCATTGCTATTACTAATGGTTCAGATACAATTTTAAATATACTTATCATAGTTTGCTAGTGACTGTTGTCAGTTTTGGTGTCAAAATGTAATGAATTCAAGGAAAGTTTACATTAGCAGTGATTGTTTTCTATCAGATAGAAAGTGATTGTTTTCTATCAGATAAAAAGTGATTATTTTCTGTCAGACAGTGGTTGTTTTCTGTCAGATAGAAAGGTATTGTTTTCTATCAGATAATGAAGTGATTGTTTTCTATCCAATAGGAAGTGATTGTTTTCTATCAGATATTAAGTGACTGCAAACTTTAAGCTGTAATAGTTACTCTTCCATGCTCCCTAAAAGATGCAGGGAATGTGGTATCAGTAAATATTTGCCCTTTCACAAGGAATTTTTCTTCTCTTTAGTGTTTGCCGGCTGACAGGAAGTTCTGGGTTGTCTGTCCACTTCTGGACTTTGATCTTGTTCCGGAACTTGAGTTTTGCATGCACATCAGTTTTACAGATCTGGCTAATATCCCCGTTTGCGTTCCAAGGCCCAATATAAGGGGGTGGAAGGGGGGGGGGGGGGTGCCCACATTACAAACATGTAAAAAGTGACTAGATAGAAAATTTTGACTCCCAAGTTGTATTGCGTCTGCTGCTGAGAGCAGCGAGGAACCAACAGTCTGCATTACGTAAGCAAAATCTGTAAAATGGATATGCACACAAAACTCAAGTTCTGAAACAAGACCAGTCCAGAAGGGGATGAACAGTCGGAACTTTCTACTAGAGTTTAAAGCTAATAAACGCTAAGAAGAAGTAGATCTGGCTTATTTGAATGCATACGATCGGTTGCTTCCCTCTCAGGCACACACATTTCCATTTTGGAGGAAACTTCATTCATTATTTGCCTCCTACAGCATTAGGGGGAGGGGGTGTCCTTCTTTCTATCTTCAAAATGGGAGCAGCAAAAGGAGGATTTGACAGCTGTAATCATAGACTTTTCTGTCTTTCTAAAATGAACACTTTTTACAACACACATTGTTACCAGGTTGAAATATTTATTGTGCACATTTGTTAATGATATTGATTTCTGTACATTAAAATATGTAGGTTCACCTTCTGCCTCAAAAGCTGTAATAGCCAGCTACAGGAACTAATTGTCGGGAAAATCTGTTTTATTTTCCTTTAAAGCTATCTTTTTCTTTGTTTTCTGCACCAGAAAGGCCTCGTTGAATAGAACAGTTCTGTTAAGTGACAGTAAATATGTCGTTTCATTTCTGACGGATACTAGTACAGTGTGATTTGATAGATTTGTTTTTTTTTGGGGAGAATAGACATGCAGCAGTTGTTCTTCCTTGATATCTTCTCATGTTTGTCTCTCCTCATTGGTTACTAATATTACTCGGAGCCTCTTTTTCAGTTGCTTCTGTAATTAAAGTCCCTTTTATCACACCAGTGGTGCATCGGACAAATGATGTTAGACCAGTGGACACTCAACGGGTGCGGAGGGGGTCAACATCATACCGCCTGCCTTTACTTCCCAGGACTGCCTGGTGTCCATTGTAAGTTAAGTTGACCTGGGCATTAAGGTCAGTCACCCCAGTGTGGATTCAAACCTACAACTTTCAGGCAGATAATCGAGCATCTAGCCATCACACAACTGCACCTCCCAGCTTGTTCTGAAGCTCTGTTGTACTGAAACAATTTTCAAGTTGAATTGTGAAATAAATAATATAAGGTGAATAGTGAATGAAATAAATAATGTAAGGTGAATTGTTAATGAAATAAATAATATAAGGTGAATTGTGAATGAAATAAATAATATAAGGCGAATTGTGAATGAAAGAAAAATAATATAAGGCGAATTGTGAATGAAATAAATAATATAAGGCGAATTGTGAATGACATAAATAATATAAGGCGAATTGTGAATGACATAAATAATATAAGGTGAATTGTGAATGAAATAAATAATGTAAGGTGAAAGTGAATGAAATAAATAATGTAAGGTGAAAGTGAATGAAATGAATAATAAAAGGTGAAAGTGAATGAAATAAATAATGTAAGGTGAAAGTGAATGAAATAAATAATGTAAGGTGAAAGTGAATGAAATAAATAATGTAAGGTGAATTGTGAATGAAATAAATAATAAAAGGTGAATTGTGAATGAAATAAATAATGTAAGGTGAAAGTAAATGAAATAAATAATAAAAGGTGAATTGTGAATGAAATAAATAATGTAAGGTGAAAGTGAATGAAATAAATAATAAAAGGTGAATTGTGTGAAATAAATAATGTAAGGTGAATTGTGAATGAAATTAATAATGTAAGGTGAATTATGAATGAAATAAATAATAAAAGGTGAATTGTGAATGAAATAAATAATGTAAGGTGAATTGTGAATTAAATAAATAATGTAAGGTGAATTGTGAATGAAGTACTAAAAGGCTGGGCTTTCTTGTAATGTTATCTCTGGCCCACAAAACCAGAGTGAAGACAGCAAATGTCTCAGGAAATGTTATATTGTAAGAGCGTGTTAATCTGTGCTGGGAACTCTGGGGGTGAACTGTGCTGGGAACTCTGGGGGTGAACTGTGCTGGGGATGAACTGTGCTGCGAACTCTGGGGGTGGACTGTGCTGGGAACTCTGGGTGTGAACTGTGCTGGGGGTGAACGGTGCTGGGAACTCTGGGTGTGAACTGTGCTGGGAACTCTGGGTGTGAACTGTGCTGGGAACTCTGGGGGTAAACTGTGCTGGGAACTCTGGGTGTGAACTGTGCTGGGAATGAACTGTGCTAGGAACTCTGGGGGTAAACTGTGCTGTCACCTTGATGCAGACTCTACTGGGGGTGAACTTTGCTGGGAACCTGGTGCAGGCTCTGCTGTGAACCTGGCACAGACTCTGCTGTGAACCTGGCGCAGGCTCTGCTGTGAACCTGGCGCAGGCTCTGCTGTGAACCTGGCGCAGGCTCTGCTGTGAACCTGGCGCAGGCTCTGCAGTGAACCTGGCGCAGGCTCTGCTGTGAACCGTGCTAGCAGCTGTGGTGGTTAAAGCACAGATTTGCTATGGGGTATTTAAACCTAATAATGATAGGCCCTGGTACCATACCTTCTTCTGCTACTGTTGTCAAATACACCGTGTGGCGCTGGATGTGGCCAACATATTTCGGGAGCTGAAGTGTTTTGGTCATATCTAGTGCCACGTAGATTGGAACAAATAATAGCAGAAGACATGGTACCAGGAAGGAGAGGAAGGGATCAACCACCACAAAGATAGGCACAGAATGTAAGTGACTTCTTGGATATTTAAGTGCACAAGGCAAGAAGCTTAGTTTCTTTTCAGGCCCTCCGTGATGAGAGCGACGTTCTGCGAGGCACCCCCTACCTGATGATGATGAATGATAGGATTCTGTTCACACCAGTAGGATTCTGAAGATCAGCCCATTCTCGTCAAATGAATACATTATGATTCTCAGGGAACATGGTGTAGCGGCTAGTTGCTTGCTTGTGGGTCCGAAGGTTGTGGGTTCAAATCTGAATGGAGATGGACATTTTTCAAAAACTGCCTTGTCTCCCAAGTCAATACAGCCATAAATTGCTACCAGGTAAAGTCCTGGAAGGTAAAGGCGGTCGGCGTGATGTTCACCACATCACCCACCGAGAACCGATTGGTCTGTAAAATGTGTCTAGCCCGATACGCCCGAAGGCGGAGAAAAGGGTCCTTGTATTGTGATTCTTAGTGAGTGTAAAGGTTGATGAATGAATGCCGACCACAGAGTTGAACACTCCCACAAGATGGGGCTCTACCGTCCTTGCTCAGCTGGAGGGAAGGGGGGGGGGGGGCAATAGAACATAAGGGCCCCCATGAGCTAAACAAGGGAAATGAGGTCATGTCTGTAAAATGATCATCTGTTGCACAAAGAAACACAAATGAGAAACTAAGCTGATGGTATCAGGAATTGGGCACTGCTGGGAAGGAGGTTGACTGAGACAGCATCAGGACAATGTATAACCAGTAGGCTATTGTAGCTATAGTTTTCACACACACACACCAATTGTCCAATGGTGCTTTTTAATTAGTTGACAGGAAAGCCCACATGCCTAAAAATTATCAATGACCCAGATGCAAAATAACTTATTGATTGGTTGACTATACGTTGACATTTTTTTTATTAGTAGTAAAGCACTGTGGGATATGTTTTTTTTTTTTTTTTAAAGCTTTATGTGTGTCTGCTCTTAACCTTTTGAGAGAGAGACAGTACATATGTTCATATTCCAAGTGCCATGAGATCATTGACTGACACATTTCTGGCCAACAATTTAGTTGTGAAGATGGATTTTGTCTCTGTTTCTTCAGCTAGACTGAGAGAAAGCCCCTAACCAACCATCTATCGACAACATCATGCAAAGCACGAAGTTTCCGGTTCCATGTGACTGTGATCCCTGGGGATCATAGAAATTGCATCCATGAACCAAATGACTACAGTCTGTGAAATAACCCCAT